ATGAACTCGGCATATTTTGAGAGTCGATCAACCACTACCAAAATGCTCGTGCATCCATTGGACTTTGGTAAGCCGATGATGTAGTCCATGGACACACTCTCCCACATTCGTTTCGGAATTGGCAAGGGTTGAAGCAACCCCGCTGGTAGATGATTTTCGACCTTGTCTTGTTGGCACAAGACACATCCGGACATACTCTTCCATATTTCCCTTCATTTCGGGCCAATAGTACGCTCCCGTAGCAAGGCCAAGGTTCGTTGTATGCCCGGATGTCTTGCATACTTAGTGTCATGACACTCTTGTAGAATGTCTCGCCTTAAACTCCCTGTATCCGGTATCCCTTTTTCATACTAACCCGCCCTCCAATGAGTATTTTTTTGTCTTTCCCTTCTCAACCAACTCGAATACGGCATGTGCAAATTCGTCGTGCACAAGTCCTTCACGTATCAGATCCACAATGTCGCCTTCTACCGAGTGTATGGCCGCCACCTTCCGATTCAACGCGTCTGCCACCACGTTAGTCTTCCCGGGTTGGTACTCGATCTCAAATTTGAACTCTGCAAGAAAATCGAGCCATCTTGCTTGTTTGCCTGTCAGTTTCTTTTGAGATTGGAAGTAGCTTACCACCCGGTTATCCGTCAAAATCATAAAAGGAACACCCACCTTGAGATAGTGTTCCCGTACTCGTAAGCAATCCACAACTGCGAGCATCTCTTTCTCGTGCGTTGGCCATCATCTTTCCATGTCTGATAATTTGTGGCTCTCGTACGCCACCAGGTGTCCTTTTTGCATTAAAACCCCTCCCACGGCAAGGTCCGAGGCATCCGTCATTACCTCGAGTGGTTTGGTAAAGTTCGAGAGTGCAAGTACCGGCTCTCTCGTCATTGTCTGCTTCAATGAGTCAAATATCATTTGGCATTCTGGCGTCCATTCCCACTTTTACTCGTTCTGCAACATATTCGTCAAGGGCGCCGCTATCTCCGAATCGCCCTTCACAAATCGCCTATAATAATTAGTTAATCCGAGGAAAGATCGTACTTCCGTAGGTGACTTGGGTGCTTCCCGCTCAACGACCGCCTTGATCTTTGTTGGCTCCATTTGAATCCTTCTGTTTCCCACGATGTGCACCAAGAATCCGACCTCGTTCATCCCAAATTTGCATTTGTCCCTCCGAACATAAAGTTGATTCTCCCATAAGGTTTGGAACACACTCTGCAAATGTTTGACATGATCCGTCATATCCCGACTATAAATTTCGTCCAAGTACACCACCACAAAGTCATCCAAGAAGTCCCGTAGTACTTCTTGCATCAACGTACAAAATGTTGCCAGGACATTCGTCAGTCGAAAAGGCATTACTTTAAACTCGTATGATCCGTGTTGTGATTGTCATCTTTGACTCGTCACCTTCCCGAATCCGGACAGATAATATCCCTTCCGAAGGTCAAGTTTTGATAGCATCTTAGCCGGTTGCAACCGATCGAACAAGTCGGCAACGAGTGGCACCGGGTACTTGTTTTTCACCGTTAATTTGTTCAATGCCCAATAATCATTGCACATGCGGAGACTCCCATCTTTTTTCCGTTGGAAGAGTACTGGCGCACCAAAGGGGCTTTTCGACAGGACTATAAACCTCGCTTTCAATAGTTCTCCCAATTGTTTCCTCAATTCCGTTAACTCATCGGGTGACATTCTATATGGTGGTCGGGACACCGGCTTTGCATCTTCTACCAAGTCGATGGCGTGGTCGACCGTCTGTCGTGGAGGTAATCCCTTCAGAAACTTTTCCGGCTTCATGTCCTTAAATTCCTTGAGGACACCCCCCAACTCCTTAGGGGGGCATCATGGTCTCTTTAACCTCGTCACTGGGGAGGTCTTCATTGTTAAGGATAGCCGCAAATGTCGGGTCTCCTTTCCTCAATCCTCTTTCGAGTTGTTTTGGCGTCAACTCCTTCTCTCGGAACACCGTTATGTCGCACGGCACACTTCCCTCCATGATAGCATATTTGTGTTCGTGCGGTATCATCGCTAACTTGGTTCGTTCAATGAACCTCATGCCAAAGAACACACAATAGTCATCAATAAGTGCTACATTAAAATTAATTGTTCCTTCCCAATCTCCAACTCGGATTGACACATTCTTTGCCACCCCTGTCAAAGAAGTCCATGCGTTATTCACTCCCTTGAATTGACCATCCGATGACACGCATTGCAAACCCAACTCATGAGCTATTCTTTGCTCATGTAATTCGCATCCGTCCATGGGTCGAGTAGACACAAGTACGAGCGTCCATTAATCTCGACATTCATGTACATCCTTCCTCGATGCTTTTTGCCATCACCTTCCGCTTTCATGCATGCAACATGTTCTTCCGTCGGGTTAATGTCCTCAGTCACCGTGGCAACACTCGATCGGTTCGAACAATTTCTTACAAAATGTTCTTTTGAGTGACAAACATAACACCCCTTGTACCTAGGTCCCGGCTTAGAAAAATCCCTCATCGCAGCCCTAGGTGCATGGCGCTCACCTCCGGGTCGGGGTAGTCGTGGGGCAAATCTTGGCGCATCTCCCCCACTTTTGTCCGAGATGATTCTCCTTCCATCGTCCCTCTTGTACGATTCCCCCCATTGGAACTTAATCAATCGTGAAACATACTTCATTGCCTCATTTACGGTTTCCGGGCACTTATCCACGACCTGTTCTTTTGCTCACGGCCTTAATCATTCGGTAAACCCAAATAATGCTTCTTCCCGCGTAATCGATGGAATTTTAAGTAGCAAGTTGGCATACTCGTCAATATACTCCTTTAAATGTCCCTCTCGATGCGCCAACCATCGTATCTTGGCCCTCACCTCTGTCTCGGCCCTTATTGGTTCGAACTCCGCCTTCAGTTTGGACTTGAACATTGCCCATGTTGTGATGGCCTTGCCATCTTGAGCGAGTTCGCTCCTACGCCTCCACCAAATGAGTGCCGAGTCCTTTAAGAAACATGACCCTGTGTGCACTTTGGCCGCATCTTCCACGACCCTTACAGCATTAAAATAACGTTCCACGTCGAAAATAAATGTATCAATTATCCAGCCTCTCCGAACTCCTGAGTAGTACTCCGGACGTGGCACCTCCACACTAGGTGCCACCGCTACTCCTCTGGTTGGGCCACAAGCTTGCAATTCCGCAATTGCCGCTCTATGTGTTGCAAGCTCCTTTTGCATCACGGACGGCTCCACCATAGCCGCCTTCTCTCGTCAGGCCAACTCGAGGTGACACGCTGCCACCTCCTCCTTAAGCTTGACAATCGCGACACTGTTCCAGTCCCTCCGCGAGAGACTTCATCAAATCCTCACGCATCTCTTTCTCGACCTCGTCAAGACGTTAATCGACCTCGTCGATCCTTTTGGAATTCCCGCCGAGGAATTCTTCCATACGCTCCATCCTTGCCTCAAAAGCACTTATGGCATCCACAGAATGACAACATTTGCACTTTCGGTGGTGCTTCTCTTCATTGACACCATCGTCGTTACCCTCGCTCAGATTCGTCAAGATGTTGATCGACCTGCATAAGGCATGGCTCGGCCTAGCCTATTTATTCAAATAATTTGATATAAGCTTATTTTAAAGCCTATTTAATTAATTAGAATAGGCTTAGGCTTTACGAAAAACTTTTTAGGCCTATCGGACCGGCCTATTAATCTATATAATTTTAATTTAATATATAAAATTATTATATATTTATAATTTTTTTAAAAAAATTAATTTAGTAATAATAACAAAATATATAATTAATTAGTTGTAACTATCATTATATATACATAAAATAATAATTGCATTTATTTTTTTTTACTAATATTAAATTTTAAAAAATAAAAAATTATTATTATTATAGAGGTAGAAATAGGCTAGACTGTATATAATTTTTTCATTATAGGCTAATATACCAGATTCACTCCTTAGTTTTTCAAAATAGGCCTAGCTTGTTTAGCGAGAGACTGGTCTGGCCTATTTCCATCCTTAACCAACCCCCACTTACCATTTTTCACCAACCATCTACTAACCCCAGCTATGGACAAATTCTAGTTTTATTCAAAAGATTTCGAACTCGCCTCCGGGTTTTGGCTCTTTTTCTCGGTCATCTTCGGTCACGGATTTGAGCCGTGACACATGGCTTTGGTACCAATCTTTATATTCGCACGAGATGTTTTCACTAATCGGATATTTTTCACGAAGAATTTTTCAAAAAAGAAGTATTTGAAGAGCCACAAAAAGAAGAGACGACATTCGAGAACTGATGTTAAAATTTATTTGACTACTTCTATAAAATATTTTTAAAATTTTTATTTATATTTATATTGAAGTTAATTATTTACTTTTTTTTCATGCATGTATGAAGAATTAAAAGAGTTGCATAAAATAAATTTTCAGTCTATTTGACTTATTATAAAAGTTTATTTATTTTAAAAAAAAATAATCTACTCTTGTTATATTTTACAAATTTTTATGAGTAAATGATATTTTTAATAGTAATTTTTTTCAATTATTTATTATTCAATTTAATATGATTTCTTTATTTTCTGTGAATTGAAAAAAAATATGTAGATTTTCAAATCACATGTGTTTTTTTTATTTATGTAAAATTCAAAATTTTTTATTTAAATTTAATATTAAAATAATATATAATAGAATGTTTTATAAAAGTAAAAATTAAATTTTTTCAAAAAAATCCAAAGTGTAAAAAATTAAAATTTAGAATAGTAAAAAACACACTCTTATCTTACTATTATTTTATTAATTAATTTTCATATAGTTTCTGTAAATGTTATTAACAGCAATTAAATTATGTAACATATAATTGAATATTAAAATATTGTACACAACCTACAATATTTTTCTCAATTCATAAGCAAAACAAAAAAAATTAATTATAAAAACTTAAAATTCAAATAACTATACTATTTAATTTTCATAATTTTATAATAAAACACTACTATAAAGAAATTGAGTTTTAATTTACCATATGTGCAATGCGTTAGTCGTCGATCAGTCCGTCTGCTTCCGCGGCGCCTCCGCCGGGAAGCTCATCGCTACGGCGGCGACACCCGGATCATCACCGGAAGGCACTTCGCGGCGATATTATGTCCGAGTTCCTGACAGCATGGAATTTTGAAGAAGAGTGGGTAAGGACAAAAGCGAAGATGACGAAAAAAAAGCTATACCCTAATTCAGGCGCAGCGGGTTAAGGGATTGATGAATATATGGTAAGTGATCAGAACAGGAAAATTTGATTCAAGAATATACCAAATCCCAACCTGAGCAATTGTAATTCGAATTCAATTAAGCTCCTTTGGGTTCTATTCGTTCACACTGGTTCAGTATACAAGAACCCTAATCCATATGTGGAGTGGAGCGGTGGCACACGGATTTATATATGCCTACCTAAAATCTTCATTACATTCATATCGAATCGGTGAGCGCTCCCTATTTTGCTCGCCCTCTCTATCTCAAGAATTTCTTGTTTTCTCCGCCCAATTTGAGTTTGGGTGAATATTTTCGGGCCGTGAGTTGGCGGAGGAAGATTTGGGTATATAGAAAACCCTTGCTCTGCCATGGAAGAAGGTAGATGAACTTGCTCCTTGTTTTTTTCCAGTGTGTAAAGTTATTGACGGCGGTGCGGTGTTGTGGTTTTTGATTGACTACTCATAAAATCTTAGGAGTTTTCTTGATCTGCAGGATTTGATTTTTACAATTGTGTAAGATTAACAAAAGCTCTTGATACAAATTTCCCATAAATGATTCATGAGCTTATATTTTGTAGATTGTGTGTAGTTGTGCTTTGTGGGTCTTAGGTTTATTCTGTTGTGGATGACTTGATTACTTGCCATTAGAATTGTTTGATGCTCAAAGGAAGAATGTAATATGAGTGTCAAAGAAGTAGCTAAAATGCAGGAATGGTAGTCCATATATTTGGCTCCTGGATCCTAAATTCGAAGCATGTTCACCAATGTCTATGAAGCCTTGTAGCTTTGTTGAGTTTCAACTCTTCTCCTTATCTTCTCTAGCACAGATTATGAGGAATCTGTTGGAAAATTAGGATTAGTGTGCTTTGGTGATAGTAAATAATAGTATAAATGATAACGGTATATCGGTTAGTCATTTTTTCCGAGGTCAAAATATTAAGATTACATTTCGTTGACATGTGAATTTAATGGATGTTATCTTAAAACATTTAATCGTGGACAAATTCATTTTGAAAGTATTGACTTATTAATTGGATCTTGCGTCAAATGCCTTGATGTATGTTACTTTCTAGTATAACTCTTTGTCGGGCATTAATGAGCGGACGAGTATGTAATTTATTGTTGAGATTGCAAACATCTATAACTGAGATACCTTTTTTGGGCATAAATATGTTTTTTAAATAAAAACCAGATTACGCTATATGCTGTATTTCAAGTACTGTCATGTTTATGGTAGAAGGTTTAATGCTTCTAGCAACTGTTACCTGCCATTGTGTTCGTTTATTTTTCACATCTTTCAGCTGATCAAGAAGTTGTATGCTTTCATTTATTTCAGGGCACAGAGACGGAAAATCATCTGAGATTCACTTGGAAGACGATAGAGTCCTGGCTGAGAAGAACAGGAAGAGAACAATAAAGACTCCTGCACAGATTCAAGCATTGGAGAACTTTTATATGGGTAACTTATACTTCTATAATGTCGATTAAGGTTTTCTGCCCTTCACTCTAATAATAATTCGATGATCCTTATATTCCAGAAAACAAATACCCATCGGATACGATGAAAGCAGAAATTTCTGAGGCGACAGGCTTGACGGAGACGCAAGTATATGGATGGTTTTGCCACCAGAGGTTGAAAGACAAGAAGATTCATTTTAGCTCTGTAGCTGGAGGGCCGGAGCACTCGAGTGGAGTAGTGCAAGATCATGGCAGTGGGCATAGGCCAGATTCTTGCGGCAGTACAAAACTCGGAGGTTTTGATACCAAGGAAGTCGAAAGTGGTAGGGTAATTCTTCCACAACTTTCCGGTGCGGAACTCGCGATTTCTGGAAAGAAAAGAAGTATACACAACACATCGTCCGGGAGTAGTTCATCATTGAGGACCTTGCCTGGCAATAATATAGTAAAGCCCACCTATATGGAAACTTCCCGGTACTTACCTCCGAAATCTCCTATGGATATGCCTGCTGCAAACCGTAGGTCAGGCCCTTCGGGTTATTTAAAGCTGCTGAAGCGCCCGTCTGAGAACCCCGCTGTAACTGCAGTCAAGCAACAGCTGGGAAGCCTCCATACAGAGGATGGTCCACCACTAGGTGTCGATTTTGACAGTCTTCCTCCTGGTTCCTTCAGATCAAGACAGGTTCAAGTTCATGGTAGGTTCGTTGGTTAGTATGTTTAGTCGCCTTCCATGCTAGTTTTTTTGAGTATTTTAGTTGTCTTTGAATCTGTGATGGTGTTCTTATGGTATTACAGGAAGCAATACCTTATTTATTGACATATCTCAAGTTTTCTAATTACTGACCTTTTTTTCTTTTTTGAACCTGTAATTTTCATTAACCAGAAAACTACGGTAGGAGAGAAGGCATTTCACCTGCTCCAGGTGGTATTTTGAATCTCGACCAGCACCCCAAGTTTGGAAAGGCAAGTGAATTTCGGAATGATTTCCTTTTTTATTTGGAACTTTTTGTAAAACTATATCATCGTTAAATATTATGGCGCCCTCTAGTGCAATACTACGGCAATAATAGGGCAATAATATCGATGAAATTGGTGTGAAAGAGACCGTTGATGTGTTTATCTGAATATGATAAATTCTCTTATGATTATTTAGATGCTGTAGGTGTTGCCCTTTCGTGCAATAAGTTTTTATGGATCTCGATGTCTGTCCTGCTTGAATAATTGTCTTATCTGATTGCCGTCCTTTTTTGCATTCTAGTTTCCTCCAACGGCAGTGAATACAATAATGGCCATTCAACTTTTAGATCATTTTGTTTTTATTGTATTAAAAGTTCTGTTGTTTCATTTTAGTTATTATAGTGAAGAACCATTCTATAAATTGTTGCAACTAATGTATATACCATTGTCCGACAGTCTACTTAATTTTTGTTCATATTTTCTTCCGCATGGGAGTCGGATTATGCGTCATATAAGTAATTACCTTTTTTTCGGTCTCAATATTACAGGGATTCGAGATCGGCTCCAGCGGACCATCACTTGGATTGAAAAGGGATAGAGCAAGTTTTAAGGTCCCTCAAGGATCAGATGGGCTGGACATTGTCGGGCACCAAAATGTTTCAACCAGCACGTGCGACAATATCTGGATTCTCGCACTTCCGCGCAGAGGGAGTGCAAAGGTCTGCAAGCAAAATTACATTCCCAGCGTCTTAATTGTATGTTCGAGACTTCTGTGCTAACTCCATTTTCTTCGATAAATGTAGGGCGCAAGGATAGGCAAAAACGGTGGCAGCAAGATCGAGATTCCCAAGAAGAAGGATATCACTGTACGAGTTAGGAATTTACACAAATCCATGATACTATTGCTTTCATTCGATATTTCTCTTTAACAAATTTCTTATCATACAGGCTTCAAAAAGGCCTCTGGACGGACTTCCTCCTCCGCAGCAGGAACCATCAGTAAAGAAACAATCTGTGGCACCCGCCTGCGACGCAACCGACCCAGCCATAAGGTTCGACCGCACGCACAATGGCTTCAGACCATATTACTGATCTCGAATCTTGAAAAAGCATTTTCATTTTCATTTCCCTGATTCGGGTTATGCTTATTTCTGTAGGTCTGGTGGCGAGCCCGGGACCGGAGGTAGTGTTAGTGATGAAAAAGAGGCGAATAGTGGAGCAGAGAAAAGTTGTTGTGTGGAGTAAAGAACTCCAAATATTGGCCTTAGCAGCAGCAGATCTCCTCCCTAAGGTGAGGTTATGAACAGAGTTTAGTGCTTTTGTTTTGCATTATTGAGGTAGAATGATTCATGTGTATGTGTATGACTGAGCAATTGTGGTGTGGTGTTGTGGCGGCTACTGTGGTGGTGGTGGGGTGGGGTGGGAAACACTCACCACTCACCTTGTTGTTGTATAGTTTTGTTGTTGATATTATTATGTACATTTTTTTGCCTCAATGCTTTCTTGTACAGCATTGTTGATTTATTTCTCTTTTCTACTTGTGCTGTGCTTGGTTTGTGTTTAATTTGTGTTTGTTTATATAGCCGTTGAATTTGATGTTATACGCCAAAAAAAGAATGTATTTTATAGGAACAAAAATCATTCGGACTGAGAATCTTTCTTGAATTTATTTTTCTTAACGTATATAAAGCAAAATTCATTTTTAGAAATAAAAAATATGATTCAATTCATGATTTCTATTTGATTAGATGTTGCATGTTTTACTGAAAACAGCTCCAATTGAGTTGAAGCAGTTTTGAGAGAAAAATATATTTGAAGTTATATTTTTAAAAAGTTGAATTTTATAAAAAGAAAAATTTAAATTGTTACGGAAACCTAACTTTTGAAGGTACTATTAATCAAATAGTAACTTTTAAAAAGTATTATGAAAAAAATATTTATGTTTTTCATACAAAATATTAAATTGTATATTACATATTTATGACTTCTAAAAATTTTCAAAATTTTATCTAAATGCTAGGATGACGTTGTTATTTATGCGGTAATACTTTAGTGTAGACAGGTGTGTATTAAATTGGTCTTTATATTTTTAATATATCAATTTTTGTTTTATATATATATATATATATAGATATATATACACCTTCTATTTAGTACACATAGACACATAAATACTATATATATACATATATGTACACATACTCTATTATACATATACATATTTATATATATACAAGTTCTACTAGCCACAAAAAGAATGATAACCGACAAGATCACATATTCTATTTACCAATTATTGAATGATGATCAACTAGATTACCACTGTTTTTCGCATATGTCATGATAACCAAATGGACAAAACCTTCGAGATATTTACAAATCAATCCCTTTTTATTTACACGAAGGCCTCTGCTTCTTCCCATATAAGAGTTTTCACTTCATCACGAAAAGGGGGCACAAGTACGAGTAGGAGAGTCCTCCTTCCTTTCTAAAAAACAATAGTATACTCTTGGTATCAGAGCTAGAGGGTGTAAAAGGTAATCATTTGTGTTCATTTGTGTTTTTTTAGGAGAACAACAAAGTCATGGCCCTATAGAACACGAGGACATATACAAGATAGGGCTATTGCTGAAGTTTTAATAATTGGATTTTCAGGCCAGTTAAAAGGATGATGAGATTTATATCTCACCTATACTCAAGAACAAGATATATTACATGCCATTAAAATAGATGAATACGAAACTTCGATCTTAAATGAATATAGTGATACTATACAAGATGTCATATCATCTTTAATCCAGACCATATCAATATATTTTTTAGGAGATCTCACCCATATTAAAAATAGAAACATTGAACTCTTATCCACTCTTAGATGTAAAATGCTCAGTGATTTCTCTGATTACAAAAGAGATTTTCTTGATAGTCTACTAACTTGTGATGACTCAAACCAACCTTTCTGAAAAAAAAAATATTTCTCGCCGGATTACCAACCTTATTAGGAGAGAAAGTCCGGAATAAAATTAAAACTTCATCAGAATCACAAATTTTAGATTATGATCACTAACACCCATGGCCAATTAATTAGTATAATAACAGAAAAAACACTTCGAATGTGTCAAGATATAAAAATACAAAAACACCTAAAATGGAAACTGAAACAAACAAAGACATAATTAGGAACCTTTTGTAAGAAATTTGAAACTTGTAGTCCTAAACCCCCTAATGAAGATCGCAATTGCAAATGAACGTCTAAGTAAAATTTGAAATATCATATAAAAGATTATTATAAAAAAGACTACAAACCCTTTAAAACCCATACATATTACAACAATACCAAAAAATATAAAAAAAAAAAACCCTTAATAATAATTACAAAAGAAAGAACAAAGAACACATAAAATGCGATAGATGCAACAAAACAAGACCTATAGCTAAATATTGTAAAATTCGAAGAAAGATTCAAGAGTTACAACTTGAAGAAGAAATTACTGATAAACTTTATAATATATTTAACATAGAAAATGATGAAACTTCGTTATATTCTTTTAGCTCCGATCTATCTATCAACCTAATTACACGGGAATAACAAAACGTAATTGATATTATTAAACATATATGAAATCAAAATGTCCAGAAAACATGTTTTGAAAAGTTACTCCAACATCTAGAAAAAACAATACACCAACATAACTCTAGTCCACAAACATATGACCCAACCAAAATATTAGGAAATACAAAAAAAAAAATATTAAAAAATCCTACAATTCATACTCATCAAAAGAAAATAAACAAACTTAAATTTGAAAAAAAAAAAAAAAAAAAAAAAAAAAAAAAACTAAAAGAACAACAAACCTAAGACTCCCAAACAATACAAAAAATTATTGAAATTATTAACACTACTGATGTCACTAAAACATCTAATGAGGAGATACAAGACCAAATACAATCTTTTCAAAATATGCCATAAGATTTCCTCTTTATTCTAAAATAAATTGCCTCCAAAAAATATATCATAAAAATACAGTTTGAATTCTCTAAATGATTCTTTCTAGATATTATAACACTTTTTTATACTGGAGCCGACTTAAATTGTATAAAAGATGGATTTGCCCCTACTAAATTCCTCCACAAAACTCATGAAAAATAAAAAGCAGCAAATAATTCAATACTAAACATCTCCTCTTTGATTGAAGCTTCTATAGTAAATGAAGGAAATCATTTAAGAACCTCATTTGTCGTAGTACATGATATATATCATATGGTTATCTTAGGAACCCATTTCTTAAATTTGATTACATTTTATACAGTTGATCCGGAATCAATCTCATTCAAAATGAACAATAAAAAACTATATAAAAAAACCATAAACAACATAAATTAACTTATTAGAAGCGAGCTCTATCTATTCAACTTCAATACATAATATTGTACAATCAAAGATATTTACCCTAAATGAGTTAAAAAATTATATTCATTATAAAAGAATTAAAACTCAAATACAAAATCCAGAAACCAAACAAAGAATTTCACATCTGCTTGAATTAATAAAACAACAAACATACTATAATCTTCCTAATGTTTTCTGAGAATGAAAGAAACGTGTTATCACACTTTCTTATGAGGCTACCTTCAATGAAAATAATATTCCAACTAAAGCTAGACCTATCTAAAAGAACCGAGAATTAAAAGATTTTTGTAAAAAAGAAATACAATATTTTAAAAAATAAAAAACTAATATCAAAATCCAAATCACCGTGAAGTTTGCCTTCTATGTTAATAAAGTTTCTGAAATTGAAAGAGAAACCACAAGGTTAATAATAAACTATACACCGTTAAACAAAACTTTAAAATGGATTAGATACACTATTCTTAATAAAAGATATTTATTACAAAAATTATATGACGCTTATATATTTTCAAAATTTGATATGAAATTTGGTTTTTGGCAAATACAAATTTCTCTGGAAGTTAAATATAAACTCGCATTTACTGTCCCATTTGGACAGTATGAATGGAACGTGATGTCTTTTGGATTAAAAAATGCACCTTCCAAATTTCAAAAGATTATGAATGATACATTTAATGATTTCCATAAATTATGTATCGTCTATATTGATGATGTCTTAATTTATTCAAAAATTATAAAAGAACATTTTAAACACCTTTATACCTTTCTATCAACTATAAAGAAAAATGGTTTAGTAATTTATGAATCTAAAATAAGTCTTTTTCAAACAAAAATAAGATTTTTAGGACACTATATAACACAATGCACTATTACACCAATTGAAATATCTTTTCAATTTGCCAGTAAATTTTCCGATAAATTTTTTGACAAAAACCAGTTAGATTTTTAGGAAGCTTAAACTACGTCTTAGATTTCTACCCAGACATAAACTATAAAAATCAAACTACTTCACGATAGATTATAGAATCATCCGACACCCTGGATAGACATACATAGAACATTAATACAAGATATTAAAAGACGAATTACTGAAATAGCGTGTCTGCATCTAGCTGACCTAAACCTGCCAAAAATAGTTGAGACAAATGCCTCTTATATAGGCTACATATGAATATTAAAATAACTACAAGATAATAGAGAAGTCATTATCCAATTTACTTTTGCTAACTAACTGGAATGATACACAAAAATTATTATACTGTCAAAAACAGAAATCCTAAGTATTGTCCTTTGTATATCCAAATTTCAAAGTGATTTAATCACCAAAAATTTTCTCTTACAAGTAGACTGTAAGAGTGCAAAAGAAATCCTACAGAAAAATATTCAAAATCTTGCCTCCAAACATATCTTTCAAAGTTATTATTGTTCATTTTGAATGACATTGATTCCGGACCAACTGTATAGGTGTAATTAAATTTAAGAAAGGGGTTCCTAAGATAACCATATTATGTATATCCTTTACAACGACAAATGAGGTTCTTAAATCAATTTCTTCATTTACTACAGAAGCTTCAATCCCGGGAGAAGACGTTTAGTATTGAATTATTTGCTTCATTTTCTTTGTACAATAGGATGAAGAGTTTTTGGTACCGAATAAGTGGTTTGATAGAACTCAATTCGGGTAAAAAAAGAGAATAATAGTTTTAGTTTCTAAGATAAAATTATAAAATGACGTTTGGATTTTATTATTATCATTAAGAGAATTTTTAAAGAACCAGTTTCATTTTTCAAAATTAGTTGAAGAGCATAATTCATTATGAAAAATTGTTTTATCTATTGGAAATTGTTATTCTATAGTATTCAATTCGTTAACATTTTCAATGATTGAAGAAAATGTAGGACTAGTTGGTTCTTGTAAAAGTTCATTATCCCTACATGTATAAATTGACTTAGGTATTGATGAAGAAAAATTAACCTCCTTTAAAGATGAAATTGGGATATCAGAAATGGAAAATCTAGATGGTTTTGTTGGACTATTTAGTTGGAAAACTCTTCCTAAATCAATGGTATTAGTATCAAAATATGTAGAGTTATTTTCATAATTATAGTCTGA